TTTATATGGAAAAAAAAATAGTTTTGTTAAAATATCTAAAAATTTAATTAGATCTGAAAATAATTTTATAATGGGGCCATCAAAAATAATTATACAGGTCACTCAATAATATAATTATAAAATAATTATAAAATAATTGTATATGACACTCAAACTGGTTACTAGAACGAATCAAAATTTTTGTAGCGTCATTCACCATGTCCTACATAATTATTTTGCTAGTCTACAAAATTATTTTCAAATCTATTTCTAGCTAAATTTTTAAATACTTCAACAAATCTGATCCTCTCGGGTAATAATATATTTTATAAAAAACTAACTTTCAATAATGTATAACAGAGATAGAGAGAGAGAGAGAAAGAGAGAGAGAGAGAGAGAGAGAGAAAAGAATTAAGGTAAGACGATATTTTAAAATCCAGAAAATACAAATTTGCTAAATCAACAAACCATCGAGGAATTCCGTTGTCTCCATTATTGTATCACACGGCATTTTTCAGGATAGGCCGCGTCAGAGCGACACGGGAAAATTCTCGACACGGCCGTAGAAACTCAATTTCCACGATTTGGCGACCTCGCCCACCTCTCTTCCACATCTGCATTATTTCCTTTCTTCGTCCAGTTTTCGTGCGCCGGAGTGCATTAACTCCGCCGAGTCGAGTTTCGGTATTTCGCCCTTTGATCTCGATGAGGCGGGACGGGCGGGCCCACGCATACATCCGTAATGCATCCGTCGAGCTGTAAAGCCGCACTGGATCAGAAGGAGCATTCGATATGCGCCGGACGCTTACGTGCTTTCGTAATTCAGAGCTTCTTCGATAGTCGCGAATAATAATAGCGAGCGGTGGCCGGCAATCCGTTATCGACATATCCGCATTTATGACCGTTCGGCATCCGTTGGGCATTCATCGATGTAGATCCTGATAGAAAGGGGTGGTACGAAGGGGGAGAGGGATGGAGCGTTATTGCGATTGAGCGTAGCTGACTAATATTGCGCGACGTCAGCGAGCCAATGCGTCAGAATCCCTTCACGTTAATGCATCCTGTTACACTTTATCGTGCAGCAGACAGAAATCGAAGCGAATTCGTGCGGAACAGTCGCATTCTCACGAAATTGCTTTCGTTCTTGGAAGAATTGGGGAGATAGATTCCTTTAACATTCGTATATTCCGGCGAGACGCCAGAAAAATTCACGGTGCAAATCCGCAAAAATGCGAAACTTCAATTTAATATCAAGACAATTAAAGGATATCTCATTTGTTTTCTTAACCAAGATCATCTTAAGAGCTTCTGTGTGTGTAGTGATTATTTCCCTACGAAAAAAAAAGAGAAAAAAATGTTTCGTACGACATAATGGAATATATACGGAAAGGACGGTTTTGTTGAAGATTGAAAGATTTAGTTAGATACTGAAAATAATTTTGTTGAATCGTTAAAAATAATTATGTACAATCAAACTGATTGTGAATATGAAAAGTTTTTATAGCATTGTTTATCATGCTTGATATTCCTACGTAATTGTTTCGGGATTGCCACAAAATTGAAAATCAAAGAATGTTAGAGAATTTTGCAAAATTCTTTGAAAAATTAAAATTCTTGGCTTTAAAGAAATTTAATAAATGTACATTATAATTACGCAATTTTTAAATATTACTAATTAAAAAATTATTGTATAAATGCAAGCGATGTCAGCAACATTAATTAGTAATTTAAATTATTCTCTTAATAAAGTATTTGACGGTTTTTAAATCGGGATGAAAATATAATATAAAATTAATGAAAATCTAATAAAATACAATAAATTAAAAAACATTTTAAAAGGAAAAAAATCATGAAATTTTATTCAGAAATCAAGGAAAAATTATGGAATTTTAAGATGAGGAATTCATGACATTCCTGACAAAGAATACCTACAAGAAGCTAAGAAAGGAAAGACTTTATCAGTGACACTTGACTGAAAGAAAACTCATATTTTCTGCGCCATTTTATTCTATCTTGATTAAAGTTTTCAGAAGGGATTAAATTTTAACAAGCTCGCCACTTGAAGCTTTAAAAATAGACAGAGCTATGCGTATCCTTGTCTCATAGGGTTGCGTCGTGGGAGATGTATCACAAGATCGTCTTTAATCAATGGAGACGCGGCAAACAACCTGCTCAATCAAAATCCTTATTATCCTTAGCGGATTATGGTAAACGCGACGACGGGCCTCGTTAGGCGTACCCTCGTTCGTCTCGCCTCGCCTCATCTTGCCTCGTCGTCTTCGCGTCTGCGTTCGTGTTTGCGATGTCACGCGGTGTGTAATTTCGACGTGCAATGTTTGCGCTGCCACGCGGCGGGATGGCACGGCGGCGAACGCTTACATGGATAGTCGCATCGGCGCCGCGCCGTGGCACGGCGCCATCGATCTTGACGGAGACCCGAAGGCAAACACATCCCACGTAGGACGAACCGCGCACCGCGTATGTCCCTCCAAGTGCTTACGTTAAACCAGGCGATAAGAAAGGGCCGCGCCTTCGGCCACGACCGGCCACGCCGGGAAATAATTAATCCGATTTGCGCGGCTAAGCCGCGCGCGAGCGCGCGGACTCTCGTACTGGAAAACGACCGTTTCATACTGCACGGAGTGGTAATATTACGCAAGCTTTGCGAAGAACTTGTCGAGTGACGATTATCGTGCAGCTGAGAAAGTAAAGATACATGGAGAAATGAAGTTTAAGTTAGAGAAAAAGGGATTGCTTTTTATCAGAAATCATTGATTAAAAAATAGGAGTAGCTAATCTTTTTTGTGTGGTCATTATAGAATTTCGATATCTTTGGTATCTTGTTATATAGAATTTGTTATCAAAAAAAACCATATATATATATATAGAATATATAATCTTATAATTATATTTTTTCTCATACATTGAAAATAAAAAAGTTCTTCTGTTTAACAAATGTTGTTAAACAGACTGTTAATTGTTTTTAACTGTTGTTAACTATTAATTTTTTTTTGTTTATATTTTTTTAAAGTAAATCATTACAAAGTAGATCAAAACATTAATCTAGAGACATGTTTTTAATTCCTGCATTAAACTACACTAAAACTTTTTTTCACGTTTCCATCAGATATCAAAAGTATTCTAAAAGTACATACTAATTCAGCTGCAGAAAATTACTAAAAATTGCAGTGTTTTGTTTGTTTTCACGTTTAAAGCAATATTATATCTTTGTTTTTTGTTTATCTGTTTGTATTGTCAGATAGAATTCCCTAAAATATTATTCGACAACCAATCGATATACATATTCAAAATCATTACAATATGTGATAAAGCGCAGCAATAAAATAACAACCTGATGCTTTTAGTGCGAAATCGAACAAAAGCAACAACTTGCGCAGCCAGAGATCGTTCGTGTAAAAAATAGATTTAATATACGATTATTGTTTTATTGTGTCATTTTGGGATTTAAAATTTTTTTCTTTGATAGCACATGCTTCTTTACGTTCGATCCACAATCTTATTTTAAAAGGCCTTAAAAGTCGAAAGAGATTAAGTGACAATAATTTCTTTAAATTCTGTTTTTGCGCAATTTTTAGACTTTAGCCGTTAGACTTAAGCGATTTAAGAAAAATTAGATATCTAAATATTCAGATATCTGAATCCGATCTCAGAACTCAAAACCGTATTATTCAGGTAATCCGGATATCTGAATTATTCGGATCCGCGTATCTGAATTTGGATTCAAATCTGGATCCGAATCTGAATTTAGATTTAGATCCATGTCCAGAAAGAAAAAAAACATCGATTGTAAAACGATGTATTTAATGAATTTTAACACAAGTTACTTTTTAAATAAAATTTGAATTTTGATTCACATATATATATATATAAAATTGAAGAAAAATTAAATTAAAAAATATAAATATAAATTCACACGGAATTATACAAGCACTTAAAATCCAACTATACCGTTTAAGGCATTTGTTTCTATAGGTTGTGTTTCTTGCATATATGTCTTATGAGACTTAATATTATTTATAAGTACAAACGTTTAGAACAGACTCTCAATCTTAAAATAGTAATAACAAAGATTACAAAATTAATAAGATTACAAAATTAAAAATATTTGTGAAATAGAAATCGACCGAGTTAATGTAACAACATAATATAGTAGAGAGCTTACCTTAGAATCGGTCAAAGTTGGATGTTTTGAATAATATAATATTCTTGGTTAACATTTGAGATTAATTAAACTCATGAACCAAGAATATTATATTATTCGAAACATCCAACTTTGATCCTAAAGCGCTCTCTACTATATTAGAAATATTTGTATTTCACACTTTTATACTCAGATAAGTGTATAATATAATGACTTTAATATACACTCAGTCCGCACTAATGCATCCAATCGAATTCGCTATAAGTTTGCTACGAATCCGGAACCGAATTTGAGAATAGGATTTGGATTCGACTTTTACTATTCGGATCTCAAATTCGGATATCTTAGAAAATTCGAATATTTGATAATCCGAATTTGATCACATTTATTCATAATTGATATCGTAAACGGATATCCGGATAGCTTTAAATCCGAATCAATTTTGTCCTGTCTAGTGAGTTGGTCATCCTTGGACTAAAAGCTCACTTTTATCACGAGCAGAATGACTCGCGTAATATTGTAGTAAGAATTGTAGAAATTATATAATCTATATTTTATTTTGTGAATTGCGG